TTTTCAAATTATAGTTTTATTCAAATCCTCTCCAATGAATAAACCAAATAAATTTTTGTGTTTGTTAATATACTCCCAAATAATCTCTACTTCTTGTCATTTGTATTTACAAAGAGACCGGATCTTCCCATGACTCTCTCTGTTCCAATGTTAGACCAAACCGGTTCACCATAAAGCTTCTCGAATCCTCAACAAATTCTCAAATTAAAACCGGTTTACGAGCGGATTACGTTATAAAAAATCCGGGTAAAATTCACGCGCGGATCATTGGTTTTATGTTGGAAACCATTTTTTACGGTTTATCCCTATAAACCGGTTGGTTAATGGAACGACGTAGTTTTTGCCTGAGATTATCGGCCCAAACTAAGCCCACGTCTCTTTGCTTGTTCTTCATCTCCACCATCACTAATTCATCAGTTAACCTTCGAATTTTCACAACCACATTCGCTACACCTTTTGGTCCTTCAAGCTTTATCGCTCTCTCTTTCTTCTTCGCAATCCTCAGATTCAACTGTTTCGCAGCTTCCACTACCTTACCCATAATCTCCACCGGAGTTTCGTCGGAGACGAATTGATCACAATGATCCGGCGTCACGAAGTTACCAAACAATCCAGCGAGATTCGCCGTTGACGAAGACGCGATTAACTCAAACGCGTTTAGTTTTTTCCCGCTTTCTTCTAGATCGTAATCATCGGCTTGGATTCCTATGATTTCGCTTGGATCTACTCCATGATTGAACCACGGATCTACTAGAATCTCCTCGACGGTGATTCTCTGTTCCGGATCTGGCTCCAGTAAACGACGGAGCAACCGTCGTAGATCTGACGAAGTCCAATCCGGCAATTTGTATTGAGCTTTGTGGATTTTCCGGTATAGTCCCATGATGTTTGGATCTCGAAACGGCAAGTAACCGGCGTTGAGAAGGAACAAAACGACGCCGCATGACCATATATCCGCCTTAGATCCGTCGTATCCTTTCTTCAATAGAAGCTCCGGCGCAACGTAAGCCGGAGTTCCACAAAGCGTGTGTAGCATCCCATCGGGTTGGATCTGTTCTCTCATCGCACTTAAACCGAAATCGGAAACCTTCAGATCTCGTTTCTCGTCGAGTAAGAGATTCTCCGGTTTCAAATCACGGTGGAACACACCTCTAGCGTGACAATACCTCACGGCGGAGATCAATTGCCGGAAATATTTCCGGCTAAGACTTTCTGTGAAACGATTGCTCGTGACTCTGGAGAATAACTCACCGCCTTTGGCTAACTCCATGACGAAGTAGATCTTCGTCTTCGTCGCGAGGACTTCGGAGAGGAGCACGATATGAGGATGACGTAAGCGGCGCATAACAGAGATTTCTCTCTTAACGTGCGCCGTGAGACCATCTTTCAAACGCTTTTTTTGAACCACTTTGATCGCAACGCTTTCGCCGTTATTGTGTAGATCTTCTGCTTGGTAGACTTTTGCAAACGCGCCGCTACCGAGAAGGTTACGGATGTTGTATTTTCCGAATAACGCCGATTGATTATCGTCTCCGACGACGTTAACGATGATCGAATCGGAAGAATTAGAATCTTCGGCCATTTAAACAATGAAAACGCAAAGATTTATCAAAAAACAACAAAACGCAAAATAGAAACAGTCTAATACAAATTGAAAAGAACATGCGCGCGAGGCCTCTTCTTATTGAAAACTCTTCAACTTGCCACGTAAGTTTAAGATTTAAATATTTATATTTGACTTTTTTGTTTTATTGGATTAAACAAATAAAACAAAGAAATAATCATAAACATCATATAGGACAATTTCAATGAGATGCTTTTACGATTTTTACTTATCTTTATTAGTTACAAATCCTATACCTTATCAAATACACAATCATGCTTGCTTAGAGTATTTTCTCGTAAAAAAAGATTAAATCAATTGTATTTTTTGGGGGTTGATTACTCGCGCCAAAAATATCTGCCTTGTGAGGTCAACCAAAACGTTCTAATTCCTTGTGGGATAAGATTCAAGTCTTGATTTATTTGTTAATATAATTTATATCACTTTTCCAATAATAGTATTTTAACTGTTTATATATGTTGCAGCGTCGACAATCCGATATTAAAAGAAAAATAGTAAAATACCTTCTTCGTTGACAAAAAAGTTCGATATAAAAAGAATTTTATATATAAAGAAAAGCTTTACATGATGTCGAAAAACAACGTGGATTGACGTTACTGTCTATTGAATGTTAAGCAATATTCATGAAGACGGTTTAAGCTACACTACTGGTTTAGATGGTTAGTCATTTTGGTCAATAGGTTTGGTCGCACAACTCATCTATTCAATCACAAAGAAAATGACATTTGGTGAGTTGTGCGACCAACCTATCAAGTATGAAGCAAATGTGACTTTATTTGTAATTGAAATACCTCATGAAGATGATGAGTTGTGTTTGGGTTCTTTTTTGTGTTCTCTAAAATATATTTTGGATACCTCATGAAGACGACTGACGCATTGTTTTTATCCCGGTTTCAATTTTCTGTTGTAATCTCACTTTGAAAGATCAGTGGATTATTGAAAGGATTCTTGAGCCGAGATTTACTCTAGACATCTTGATTTTGAAGAACTCGATCGTAAAACATTGTGCAATTATGGTTTGTGCATTACGTACATGCGGAGTAAGTAGGGTTTATATATTTTGAAACTACATAAAACCAAACATTATTTGAAAGGAAGAAGAGATGAATAATCTTCTCTTTTGTAATGGAAAATGCTCCAATCGTCTCCAAGGAGTGTACACCAAGATTCTCTTACAAATGTATTAGGTTAATAGAGAATTAAAACACTTCCAATTAAACCGAGTCGGATGCCAAGTAAACCGGATAAGATCTTTATGAGAAAAAACTCTCTTAAGTGACAACAATCACTTTGTGGGGAGGAGCGGTCACTTCTATAATAACCGGAGCTACTGGTTTGTGTGACCAACAAAATTTAGTGACAAAATGGACCCACTAAAGATTGTGCGTTTTTAAGTTCTTTAGTTTGAGTTTTGCTTGTGAGGCAAACAAATGTTCTTCGACTGAAAGGTGTATATGAGATTCAGTTTGTTCGATATCTTATTCTACACAACTTATTTAGGAACCCAAATGTACCTAACCATGCACATAAAGACGTTTTGACACGATGATACTAATGAATGATCTATGGATCTAATTCTCATAAATGTGTCAATTTGGGATACATCAACTACCCGTTACAATGTTTGTACCATTCGTAATTTATGAAGCTAATCCGTCTCTAGTTGCTTCCTACGTTAGCCTACCAGTCAAACCAACGACAATTTTGTTGCCTTCAGAAAACCAAAAATTGAGTGCCAAAATAATAGTAACATTTAAATTTGAAGACTGTTGAAACTTCAATGTCAACATAAAATAATGACTTTTAGTAGCTGGAAATAAACTAAAATAAGGATTAATATTGGGTGAAGTTTTTTTTTTTTTATAATAATTGATTTGAAGTTGGATTCGTGGATCCAAGTCATTTGTGTGTGGAGTAAAATCATACTAGTATCCCTTTTTCGTGTTGAAAAAGCCAAAATTTAATCCTTACACGTGAACTTGTGCAAAAATATCATATAAGGAATTCTGTAAAGCAAAATTAAATAATAAATTTAAAAGATACAAAGGCAAAAACTCGACAAAGTAAACAAACAAATAAATAAAATCTCTTGCTCATTCATGGTTTCCAGTATGTATTAGCTTTCGTAACGGAATTTACTACTCCTATTTACATTTTAATTTAATGACTTTATCAATGTGGAAATTACACCTACTTACTACTAGTAACAATTTGGGAAGTTCATTTCATCGACGATTCTGAATTTCTGATATTTAAAAGGTCTCATAAAAATGTTGGTCTTGTTTCTTCGAAAGTATAAAATTTTAAACAAACATAACAAATGTATATTTATATATTTAATGTACGTACTGCTGTTCTG